TGTACCTCCCTTTTTCCAGTGACTCCGCCTCCAGAACTCCACCTCCAAACTCCGCCTTCCAGCCAAAAGCGGTGCTCCCGGACAAGTAGCATGAAATGGATGCTCCATTGTTTCTTGTAGGGCCATAGGGTTCATTTCAAGGGATTAACCCGACGGGCTCGTCCAAAGGAGCGTTATTTTGACTTTTTACCTGTGCAATTGTTTGAGGCTGGAGGGGCTTTATAAAAGGCGTTTTCGACTTCGCGTTAGCATTTTCTCTACTGCAACAGTCATTTGACAATATCTCTTCCATGTTTAACACTATTACCTAGGCTAGACCGAACCTTAAAGGCGATTTGCACACCCACCTCCAAAGACGGTCTTCTCCATGTGCGAGATTATATATCGAACCGGAGGTGCAGTAGCGCGCCACCTTTCCGCTCGAAAGCGCATGGGAAGCTACGAGCTAGGCGGTAGTGATACTCGGGTGTCGCCCACACACTCCGCTCGCGGTAACCTCATGGTGCAGCTTTTGCGTCGGTACCGAAATACCGCAGTGAACACGCATAGAGAACAACTGTAAGTGAGTTGGCGCATAAAAGCAGCCTGTTTGGCCAAGACCAGGTGTATAGCTAGGCGTAGTATGAAAGTGGCACATGTGAGGTGACACATGGACGTACTACGCCCGACTTTTTTTGAAGGGAGAGAGGCTCACCTTTGAATGAAAGAAGAGTGCGAAAATACCAGTGACTGGATGAGTCTTTCTCGGCGCAGTTCGACGACGGGGGAGGGGGGAAGGGGGGGGGAAGGGGGGGGGAGCATTTTGCACTTTCGTTGCTTCACTAGTTCCGGTTTACGAGTCCCACTCTGGTGAAACCTGTAAACTTTTGTGAAGCTGGAGCGCTTGTAAAGCCACCACTGCAAAACCTGTCAACCCAGGAAAAGGCTCTACAGAATGGTCGACAGTCGATGGGAAGTAGCAAAAATGCAGAATGCCCGCCCCCCTCTCGCCGGACTGCCCCGTCCTTGTCGTAGGCTTTTTCACGATTGATCAATGTCAGAAGATTTGTTTTTTAGTTTTCCCTTCTCTCAGTGAGTTTTCATCTATATTGTTTGCTTCGGTTCTCCTTGTCGGAAGCTTCGGCGAAGGATTTTCTGGGTGCTTTGGTAATATCGAAATTTCTCGAAAGAAGGGAAAACAAAACTAAATAATCAATAAGTTTCCATTCTCTAAAAAGTAGCTGCGTCCGGGAGAACTTTGATTTTTTATCAGAAAACTCATAAACAAGACTGACTTCTTCCACATTGATGGCATAATGGAATGTCCAACAAAACTCTTGGCTCTTTCCACGAAATTTAACTTATCCGTACTTTCCATAATCACAGCTAAAATAAAATTAATTGATTTGTAAGTAACTGCATTCCGAGAGGCGGACAAGACATTCCGCAATCTGCTCCTTGGAATCCACAGCAAGATTAACAAGGGTCAAAGGCGCATTCCCGTGCGGTCTAAATGGTAGAGACAGATCCGCCACCCCGCCTTCTTCATTTGCTAGGTCTCTCTTACACTATCATCCTCGAAGGAAAGCGATATCGAAGAGAACGCAGTAGGCATGGACCAACGTACACCCTTCCCGACCATTTTGGATAATGGTCCCTCTAACCAGAAGTTCTGTTAATCTCATACATAATTAGGCTGCGTTTATACTTTGCGGCAGCGTAGCGTAGCGCTTCCAGCGTTTCACTAGCGTTTAGCTAGCGTTTGCAGTGCGGGCGTAGAAGAGTATAGGCGTGAGTAGAGGCAGTACAACAAATCTCTCGCTACGCTAAAGGAGAGTATCGAAGAGTAGGAGAGTATTTTGTACTCTCCTACTCTTCTACACTCTCTAGCCCTGCCGCTGCAAGCGCTAGCGAAACGCTAGTGAAACGCTCGTGAAACGCTGGTAGCGCTAGATCGATACCTATACATCCCGTGCCCTCGCTACGACTGCGTACGCTGCGTTACGCGTGGCCTGAGAGAACGCGTAGATCGATACCCTATCCCTTCCCCCGACGCTGCGCTGGCGTACGCTGGAAGCGCTACGCTACGCTGCCGCAAAGTATAAACGCAGCCTTACGGAGAAACGTACTTACGTGGGACGTAGCTAGGAATTGTCGGCACCCCCATATGATAGGCAACGAAATCCATCAAACTGCCACTGTAAAAAAAACATTGAGTGAGAAGTACACTCAAAATCCTTGAGATGCGGTAGGCGTGACTGCGTACTTAAATTGAACTCGGCGTTGGACAAGATCCTTGCCAAATATTTCCATTTTGGTACCGTTGTAATCATGTCTTGTCCAACACTGAACAAGATGACAGCGGTCTCAAATTAATACATCACGAGTAGCCCATCCTACACCGTGATCAAATGCCACGCCTACTCCATCTCAGGGATAAGGAGTGTAACAACGAATTCTCAGCACACCAGATGCATACCTGTTCAACCATATCCACGAAGGAATTTTGGCGAAATGAATAAGGCCAATAGGACAGACGTCGTAAATATGAGAGAAGGCGAGATCAAACTGCTGTGCAACCAACCAATCGAGGAACTTCTTGTTTTCAACCGTTTCTAAATGCTGTTCGGAGGAGCGGCTGGTGTGAGAAAAATGTTTCCTGTTGTTGACGTTTCCCGGTTTTTACGTTTCACTTGCGCTACATGTATATCCACCCTCCCTTGCCCATACCCTCCTAGCCCAACGCCAGTTTTTTTGCTGAAAAACCGGAGAGAAACTGGGGATTTTTTGAAAGGAATTTGAATGAGCAGGGGAACATTGGGAAGACGGGAACTAGGACGGGATAGAGGGGTGGAGAAGAGGGGGGATGGTACCAGAAGAGGAAATTCTGGGGTAGGGCGTCGTACTTTGCAAAAATTTTTCGAACGGCAAGACGTGCTATGTTACAGATTTAGGTTTGTATCTCTGAATCATGCGGTGCACCTTAAGACCACTTTAATAAATAGGTAAGTAAAATGTTTAGCTCTTTGCACGTCTTGATGAGTGAACTCACTACGACAAGCTTCTGTTAGTAATGTTGTCATCCTGCCCATGTGTGCTCGATACCTTGAATCCCATACCGTAAGGTCCTTAAGAAGAAATGTAAACATCACAGAAATTCGAGACATTAATGACCTTTTACTACCCCGAACATTCAGCAAATGTTGAAGAGTTCATAGTTTTCTCCGCTTATTAATCCCTTCTGAGATGCGCTAAGCACCCTACTACCATTCGGAATCGTAAGGGCT